CCGCACAGGCAGAGACGGGAGGACCGATGCACCACAGTCCCCGCACAGGTAAGAAGTGCTGAGACCCAGAGCTCTGCTGTAGGACTAGCCCAAGATAGGAGGACAGATAACAGGTCTATGCTCTTGAAGCAAAAAAGAAAAGATGGCTAGGAATGCAGGAAGTGTGGCAGTGCTGGAGACAGAGAACACGGAGAGTTCCAGCAGTCCACAGCTTCCTTCTTCCTAGCAGGGGGAACAAGGTCAACTACTGAGGAAAGGTGTGGGGAGGGGAGGTGGGATGGACAGCAGGGCAGACGGGTCCTGAACACAGCTGAGGATCGGCACTGCCTGCTGCTGAGCAAGACGGGGGTTCAGTGGCAGAGTCCAGTGAGCAGAGAGTGCACCAGCCTGTCACAGGATGAGACTTACCACCAAGTGATTGTCCCTGTTCTTTCTTAGTACTCAAAAAGCAAAGGCGGAGAATAGAGATGGCTGACATTTTCCAACACAGGAGGAGGGGAGACCTGTGACTGGCCCAACACTGATGGCCAGGAGGAGGAAAGAGAAAACCTCCCCAGCTGGGCAAGGGTGAGGTGATGGCCAGACTGCTATTTAATGGACATTTACACACAGTCAGACAATGTTCCAAGTGTTTACAAATATAAACTCAGTTCTGCATATAAACCTGAGGTAGGCGTGTGTATCACGTCCATTTTACTCACGAGAAAATGGGAACAAAGAGGTTGAATAGATGCAAGGCCCGGGACGGGAGCCCACGTGGCCTGGCCTTTAAACTTGCTGACGTGCTCAGAGACCTAACAGTTTGTAGCATCTGAGCCAGAAGGATTCTGGGTGGCGACAATGAAGGTGCAGTGAGGCCTTGTACCTGAGCACATCGATCTCGTCTTTCAGAGACTGAGCGTCATCTGCCAAAGTGGTCAGTTCATCGTTCTGTTGCCGAAGTTCAGAGATTTCCTTTTCTAACTCTTCACAGCGTATTCGATAATCATCTTTGGCAGCTTCTAGTCTGTAATCAAAACACCCAAGACAGAACAATTCACTGTTGCAAAATTCTCCTTAGAACAGTAAAATAAAAATACAAAACACAAGAATCAACTCTGCTTGACTCTGTCTCCTACTTTGGTGGCCACAAGCTGCAGTGCTAAGTCTTAAATGTCATAAAAAAGGGTTCCACCATTCCAGGGTTTGGGAAAGGTGGCGGCTATTATTCCACCACTGGAAGGCTACATCTCAAGTAATCCTTTTCTAAAACACCTCAGATATAATTTCTTTAAAGTTTTATTATGAAATTAACACACTATTCCTTGTTGAAAATTTGCAAAATATAGAAAAACAAAGAAAATAAAAATCAACTATTAATCCAGAAAACTAATTACTGCTAATATTTTTGGAGTCTGCTCTCTAGTCTGATTTCTGTTCATAGTCCACCCCCCTAAACTATGCAGAGTACTATCCCTACTTGGAGACATGGTCTCACTTTGTTCCCCAGGCATGAGGGCACTGGTGTCATCACAGCTGACAGCAACCTCAGACTCCTGGGTTCGGGGGATGCTCCTGTCTCAGCATCCTGAATAGCTGAGACTATAGGCATACAAGGCCCAGCTAATTTTTTTATTTTTCTGTAGAGACGGGGTCTTGCTATGTTGTTCAGGCTGGTCATGAACCCATGACCTCAAGTAACCCTCCTGCTGCAGCCTCCCATATTTCCACTTCTTTTTTTTTTTTAGACAGAGCCTCAAGCTGTCCCCCTGGGCAGAGTGCCATGGCATTACAGCTCACAGCAACCTCCAACTCCTGGGCTCAAGCGAGTCTCCTGCCTCCGCCTCCCAAGTAGCTGGGACCACAGGCGCCCGCCACAACGCCCGGCTATTTTTTTTTTTTTGGTTGCAGCCGTCATTGTTGTTTGGCGGGTCCGGGCTGGGGATTCGAACCTGCCACCTTAGGTGTACGTGGCTGGCGCCTCAGCCGGTTGAGCCATAGGCGCCGAGCCCATATTTCCACTTCTTACTACCAGATTAGTTTACTTAACATACCTCCTTACTTTGACTTATAAGGTTCTTTGTTTCTCATGTTACAAATATTTTGTCCAGTTGATTACCTACTTTTAATTTATACCTGGGGTGTCAAAAAATGTACACATATTTTAAGAGATCTTGTTAGAAATAAAATTGATCATTCCTAGAGAGTATATGAATTACTAGGAAAATGAATGTGTCTGGCATGTCTGGGCACATGTGACCAGTAACGGAACCTTCAATTCAACTTTGAAAAGTAAAACATAGACAACATCTTTTAAAACTTGCATACATTTTCTTCACACCCTCTGTACTTATCTAAATGCTTACAGTTCTCAATTTTATATAATAATCAATTAATCTTATACTTTATAGCTTCTGCTTTTAGTATATGCTTAGCTAATTTTTCCTTTTAATCCTACATTTTTTGTTAATTTGACTCTTTTGCAACCTCAAACTCACGGGCTTAAGTGATTCTCTTGCCTCAGCCTCCTCTGAGGAGCCGTTCAACACACAGCCTCTGCATCTATAGTTGCCCTGATGTTCTAAATGCTCTAATCTTAACTTTAAGTGGCAGTTATCACATTTTTTAAAATCTGGGGGGTTTTTTGTGTGTGTGTGTCTGTGTCTGTTTTAGAGACAGAGTCTCATTGTGTCGCCCTCGGTAGAGTGCCATGGCATCCCACGTCACAGCAACTTCAAACACTTGGGTTTAAGCAATTCTCTTGCCTTAGCCTCCAAGGAGCTGGGACTACAGGCACACGCCACAACGCCCAGCTATTTTAAAACCCAGTTTTAATGAACGGTCTCTTACCTGAATGTTTCTTCTTGGAGCTGTTCTAATTGAGTCTGGAGCTGCAAATGCCTTCTTCCTGCGGGACTGTTAGGATCTTCTATAGAATCAGACTGATTGAGTCTTTCCATTAATATCTGATTCTCTGCCAACAAGCTGCTTTTCTCCTCCTGCAATGCTGCAACCTGTTGGGATACAGGAACACAGCAGTGATTTCCTCCAATTACGTTCGTATCAGCTCAATCACTTGTGAATTACCATCATGGATTAAAGCCTATTTTAAAAGAAGTAAAATTAATCTCTCCTTAAAAGCATTTATATTATTTTGGACTACTGCACACACAGAGCAATATGTAAGAGTAAGAAAGAATTCATTCTTTATTTCATTTTTGAAAAAACGTTTCATCAAGGAAGATAAGCACACACAAAGTTAATCATCATTAGTCATCAACAAAATGCAGATTAAAACCCCAATTTATACAGTTATATTCCCAATGTAATGGATAAAATTAAAAAGACCGACTATACTAAGTGCTGGCAAAGAAACTTTTGATGAGAACATAAAAGGTTTCAAACACTTTGAAAAACAGCTTAGCAGTTGCTTAAAAAATTAAACACACATAACTACTACATGATTGACCCAGCCATTCTACTTCTAGGTAGAATGCCCTTACTAAAGAGAAATAAAAGCAAATGCACACATAACAACTTACAAAAACATTGACAGCAGCTTCATTTGTACAAGAGAAAAAATTGAAACCACTCAAGTATTTATCAACAAGTAAACAGATAAATAAACTGTATTGCATTCATATAGGTTGAACACTCTAAATTCAAAAATCTAGAAATGTTCCAACGTTTGAAACTTTTTGAGTGCCCACATGATGCTTAAAGAAAACGCTCTTGGGAAAACATTGCAGGTTTTGGATTTTCAAACTTGGAATACTCAAATGCCAAATGCAAATATTCCAAGATCTGGAACACTTCTGGTTCCAAGTTTTTTTTAATGTGGGATATACAACCTGTACAGAAGAATACTATTCAGCAATAAAAAAGAATTAACTGTGGACACCAGCAACACGGATGAATCTCAAAATAATGAAAAAAGCCAGGCCAAAAACCAAAAACAACCTCTCAATATATACAATAGAACTCCTACACACACAGGGAAGGGAATCTAACAAAAAACACACGTGATTCCTTTCGGAAAGTCAAACAAGGCAAAGGGGCTTATAATGAAAAGGTAGTTTCCTAACTGACTTTCCCCACACCCCAGACACAGAATGGAGCAGGTTTTAACTGTTTTAATTTTCCTTCTTTTGGCTGTCACATCATCTCTCCAACGATATGTCATGCACCTTCCAGAGGCTATGAGGCTCTATCAGCCTGAGACATCATCCAGGTAGTGACTCTCTCTCCAAGATACACTAGACTATAGGAACTTGTGCCATCCTTCCTGCCACAAATACAGCTTTGTCACTACTCTCACCTGCGGCACTGGTCACCTCTGTGGTTGTAAACAGCGACTTACTGATTCATTTCACTCAGTCACCCACTCACATACTCACGGCGCGCTTGCGACGTGCTAGGCATGGCCGTGTTCTTCTAGCTGAGAAGACAGTCATGACCAAAGTAGAGAAAGTTCTCGGATGTTATACATTTGAAACAAATTGTAATAGATAAATGAAAACAAATCATAGGACACAAGAAAGTAAATTAATAAATACCTGCAAAAACAAGATTGCAAAGTGCTGTGCAGAGGGTTAAAACAGTAACAGGAGCAGCCAGATGATCGATGTGGACTGGCTGGCCACGGAAGGCTTCCCTGAGAGCCCTCCCTGGGACCCACTTAGTGCCTGGCACATCCTCATGCCCACTAAATATTTTATGACAAACAAATCCAGTGACCTTGAGCTGAAGCTGATGTTACGTGGCTGTTGCCCCTCAGTTCCTGATATCCTGCTTGGTGAGATGGAAGTATTGTGGGCCCTCCATTCCCTTACTGCTCCCAGTCTGCTCATCAGCCTCTAGCATCTGTTTCTTTACTTTTACAATAATGTTTATCTATAGGACAATTCTAAATTTTGAAAACCAATAAAGTTGACATTAAAGGACATGTCATTATGACTGCGTTATGACTGCTTTCTGCACAGCGAAAGGTGTGTAGGGCCCCTGTTCTCTTCCCTGCAACACTAACACTCAGTCGGCAAGCCGTCCAGACCAGGAGCTGGCAGACTGCTCTGGTGTGAAGGACCACACGGTAAATACTTTAGGCTTTCAGAGGTCTCTGGAGTTGAAAGTAGCCACAGACAATGCGTAAATGGATCAGTATGACTGTGCTACAATAAAACTTTATAAGAACAGATGGTAAGTTGTGTAGTTTACAATTCCAGAGTACAACTTTAATTTTATATTAACAGAGATAGTATTTGTACCCCATTTGTAAAAATAATGAACTTTTATTTGCCAATATTATAATTCAGCTATAATATAGTTAAATTACAAATGTGAAGAGCAATTACCAGCACTTATATCATGCCTATGTGAATGCTATTTCCTAACCAGTGTGCTGTGGTTCCACTTTCTTCCAGACATGTCCAGTGCAATGACCAACTCCTATGCTCTTCAGAGTAAAAGGTTTCTTCGGACAAGTTTTATGAACTACATATGTGTAATCCGGCTTTAGCAGGCATTCAGACACCACCTGCTCCTCTCACCTCTGTTCAATCGGAGTAAATTCCGGACAAATAATCTTATCTTTTTATTTGTGAGATTTTTCTCAACTTTATCTTTAATTATTCTACTGACGTTAAAAAAAAATTATGTTTCTTTTTTATTTATGTTAGAGACAGAGTCTTGCCACATCACCCAGGCTGGACTGCAGTGGCTATTCGCAGGTGTGATCCCAGTTCATCGCAGCCTGGAACTCCTGGGCTCAAGAGATCTTCCTCTTCCAGCCTCCCAAGTAGCTGGGACTACAGGTACAAGCTACCATGTCTGGCACCACAATTCTATTCTTTTTTTTTTTTTTTTAAAGACAGAGTCTCAGTTTGTCGCCCTGGGTAGAACACCATGGCCTCACAGCTCATAGCAACCTCCAGCAGCCCTGCGGTCCCTCTGGGGCTCTGTGACAGCAGCCTCGTCACCCTGGGGGTGGTTTGGCCACTGCATTCTCTTTCCCTTCGGCCATTAAGCACTTTTCTAGGCCCTCTGGGTTCTCCCAGGGTGTGCTGGAGCAGCCATGCCCACGCTGACCGTGGAGCTGCACGTGACCTGCTAAACCAGTCACTGGAAACTGACAAGCACCACAAACTGGGGCTTTTAAAAACCTCCTTCGCCCTCCTGAGGAACACCTTCCTGTGTGCTATCCTCCTCTGTCTTCTTTTCCTGTGGGTTTATACCATTTCAGTTCACTTACTATAAATTTAATAGTGTTGCAGGAAGAAAAGAAAGGACGTTAACATCTTTGCTCAGTAGACTATCTTTAACCAGAAACCTGTTTTCTTTTCTTCTTGTTTTTCTTCACATAGGGCTATTTTATACAGTACATAGCACACTTGCTGGTGCTTATGGGGTACGTTTCAAACAGGGGTGCACAGGGCAGACCTTTTACCTGCATGTCCAATTCATGGCATCTTTGAGCAATTTCCTCCTTTGCTGACAAAGCTTCATTTAGTTCCTCTGTAGTTTTCTTCAACTGGTTAGAAACAAAGAGATGTAAGAAGCATTTTGATGTAAAGTGGCAATAATTAAGTTACATGTGTACAACAAAAATTAAAACATCCCTTCTCTTGCGGGTAGGGGGTAGGTGCAGGTGGAAGTCTAGAGCCCTTCTCCAAGGGTTAACGCACGTCTGACTTTGAATTAATTTCTTTTAATCCTAAATCTTAATTTCTCTGTCCTTTGAATTTGGCTCACATCAAGTTTTTTACGTATCTTCTTCACTACTTGGTTTTTGGTAATATTGATTCTTTGGTAACTGAGAAATTTTACCTTAGTAAAATATATCTGTGCTAGAGCAGTGATTTTAAACCAGTGTGCCACAAAAATTTTTAAAGATTTCCAAAGGAGTTCAAAGGATAGTAAGTATATTCTTTTTTTAACTCTTTTTTTGGATCAACATAGGTTCAAGTGTGCTGTGAGATAAAAAAGGTTGAAAAGCTCTGGGCTAGAGAAATAGGGAAATACACAGCTAGGGAACTTCAACACCAGTTTTTTAGCCATATTAAATAAACCTTTATGCTAGTTTGTACATAGTAATATTTTATATTTCTGTTTTTTCAATATTTATTTATTTAGAGAAAGTGTCTTGCTCTGTTCCCAGACTGGAGTGGCATCATCATAGCTCACAGTAATCTTCAACTTACGGGCTCTAGCGAGCCTTCTGTATCCTGGGTAGCTGGGATTACAGGCATGTACTACAATGCCCGGCTAATTCTATCTGTTGTAGAGATGGGGTCTCACTGTGTTGTCCAGCCTGGTCTTAAAGTCCTAGCCTCAGTGATCCTGCTACCTTGACTTCTCAAAGTGCTGGGATTACAAGCATGAGTCACTGTACCTGGCCCTGTATAGTACCATTTTAAAAGAAAAGATTTTTATTATTCTGATTCTCAACATAAATAAAACATTTCCATTATTATATAACTATATAATGAAACAAGTTTTGATTAAAATAAAATTTTATTATGTCTTCATTTCATGTGACCAAACTTTTGTGTAGTTCAGATACAAAAAAAATGCATTCAAGGTAAGGACTTTTTTTTTTCTTTTTTTTGAGACAGAGTCTCACTAAGTCCACCCTGGGTAGAGCGCCGTAGCCTCACAGCTCACAGCAATCTCAAGCTCTTGGGCTTAAGTGATTCTCTTGCCTCAACCTCCCAAGTAGCTGGGATCACAAGAGCCACCACAATGCCTGGCTGTTTTTTGGTTGTAGTTGTCAATGGTGTTTGGCAGGCGTGGGTCGGGTTCAAACCCGCCAGCTCCAGTGTATGTGGCTGGTGCCCTAGCTGCTGAGCTACAGGCACAAAGCCAAGGTAATGACTTTTAAAACCAAACGCTACAAAAAAGGGGAAAGACAGATTACAGGTTGGGTTAAAATTATACCATGTCCAAAGATTGTCTTGCAAAAAATTTAGAAACCATGGGGAAGAAATGAGAGAAGATAAACACAAAGATTTTTGTTTATGCATTGAAACAAATGCCCAAGAAGGCTTGAACATGGAACAGACAGTGTACTAACAGTATTTTATTTGGACACAATATTTAAAAGTACAAAATAACTTTCTATTATAATAAAAATACATTGCAGGATTCCTATAGTTCCCTCAGTCTCAATGCCTATAGCCCAGTGGTAGGGTGCCAGCCACACGCACCAGGGCTGGTGGGTTCAAACTTGGCCCAGGCAATGTTTACCAATGACAACAACTACAAAAAAAAAAAAAAACATAGCCAGGTGTTGTGGCGAGCACCTGTAGTCCCAGCTACTTGAGAGGCTAAGGCAAGAGAATCACTTAAGGTCAAGAGTTTGAGGTTGCTGTGAGCTATGACATCATGGCACTCTACCCAGGGCAACACAGTGAAACTCTGTCTCAAAAAAAGAAATAAATATTTCCCTTAGAGCATTTAATTATCTGCTAAAAGATCATTCACTACACTACTTTTTGTCATTTTCTAGGAATGCATCAATTGTCTTAAGTAAATGTGGCATATATCATATTTCCCCCAAAATAAGACCTACCCAAAAAATAAACCCTAGCAGGATTTCTATGCATTTGTTAAATATAAGCCCTACCTGGATAATAAGACCTAGTGATGGGCGTGGCTATGCAGCGTATCTGCATAGCCACACCATGCATTTCGGGGCAGAGCAGTAAGGAAGACTGGAATACCTTTTATCTGCCACAGCTCCTTTCTCCCAGCCAGTTGCACTTGCACAGATGCATGTGTGCGGTAACCGCAGTCGCAGGCATCCTATTACGCATGTGCAAACAGCTAGGGGAAAGGAGTTCACGCATCACTAGCACCAGCCCCACCAACAAGGTCAGCTCCCCCATCAGGTTCCACAAGAAGATGACTTAACTATATTTGAATAAAGGTAGATTGTTGTATTATACTTAATAAAAATAAGACATCCCGTGAAAATAAGCCCTAGTGTGTCTTCCTGAGAAAAAATAAATATAAGACAGTGTCTTATTTTCGGGTAAACATGGTACTCACAGATACCACTAATGGAAAAAGGAGAAGTTGTGATGGGGCTGGGCCTGGGGGGCTTATGCCTGTTAATCCTAGCACTTAGGAAGGCTGAGGTGGGAGAAATTTGAGACCAGCCTGGGCAACGCATTAAGACCCTGTCTCAAGGCTTGGTGCCTGTGGCTCAAGTGGCTAAGG